TTGCATCGGCTGTGGGGATGAAGACTACAACTCCCATGATTCCACACTCAGTCACAGCGTCATCAAACTACGCCTTTGTCTATTTGTTTATTTTGAATACACGCCCTCTAGTGGCAAAAATTGCATATTGTGCCTTTAAGTCATTTTAAAGGCCTATTTTTATTACCACAAAAAAAAATCCAATTACTCAATTAATCGACAGAATAATCGTCTGATTACTCGATTAACAAAATAATAGTTAGTGACAGCCCAAACGTTAATGCTGACATACTTTTGTCTTCATGTTCTGCGAGAACTCCAATATGGTGTCCACTCGGGTCCAGGCATCTGGGTGGTCCTTCAGATTGGTGAGAACTTCTTGTGCCAGTCTTTGCTAAAATAATCACAATACAAACCACTTATGATGCACTGTACATGTCTGATAAACAACAAACTATGATTTGAATGCAATCAAAGCACCAGAATTGTCCTGGATTCTGCAAACGAACTCATACCTGAGATCCCACATCATAGTGCATGGAGTTGACTACATTGTCCAGCAGGTTGATGTCTAGCTTTTGACTGAAGTCCAGCAACTGTCGTGCTGTGTGATCCGCCAACATGGTCATGTCTGCCGGCATAGAGCTGCAAAACAAAACGGACATCTTTTAGTTATCAACATCAACAGTGACCCTTCTTTGACCATTCATCCTAACACTTTATTAGTTGTTTATCCAGAATGATCTCTGATGTTAAAAGTCAGACACCAAACCAATGGCTCAAACCACGTGGGTGCAGTTTAGTCCATAAAACACAATACTTAAAGGGGTCATATGATGCTTTTTTAAAAAGATCATTATTTTGTGTATTTGGTGTAACAGAATATGTTGACATGCTTTAATGTTCAAAAAACACATAATTTTTCAAATACTGTACATTATTGTAAGTCCTCTATGCCCCGCCTCTCTCAAACGCTTTGTTTTCTACAAAGTCCCTCCGTTGCACTGAAGTACAACCTATGACTCTGAGTGCTGTTTTGCTGAGATCATCGTTACAACAGCTAGTATTATTAGTTAAAAGCTTCTAAAAGGTGCCAACATTGCAGTTTAACACATTAAACGTGTGTTTCTTCCACGGCTAGAAAAACACAAAAAGTAAACAAGTATTTGAGTCAACTTAATGTACACCGATCAAACTTTTTATTAAGCAGCCCACATGAATTCTGGGCGCCTGCAGTTACGGGAAGCGATGAGGATCGAAACGCGTTTTCGTTTCTGGTCAACATCAGCACTGTGTCAGCAAACTAGCACTTCATTCAACTCACATTTCGTAGTAGATAATATTTGTAACGGATAACCATTTCACCAAACACATCAACAACAACCTTTAACTTACCTGTTTTAACCAAAACTCGTCCTCGCGGAAAAAAAACAATGCTAACGTGGTTTAGGAATCAGCAACAAGGTTAAGTGTCGTGGAAACGTGCGTCGCGTCAAAACAATATCAAGACGAGAGGTAAAAGAAAAAAAAAGTCTATTTGATTTATCTCATTTTACACGATAGCGTATGTAAACCTATTCAAAAATCTAGCAAGTTCACTTCAATTGCTAACTAGCTGGTTACCTCACTATATAGCCAAACACACTATAGTGCAAAGCAAACGATACATGAAAACCCCCGAAACACACAATTTCGGTGTTATTTTTAATTATTGTCTTCAGTGATTGAATCCGAGTCCCCTTTCAGTCAGCAGCTCGTGTCAGTTCATATGTCTCTCTCTATGGCGGTTTACAGCTCGCTTTAACTAACTACTCATTCCGTTTTATAACAACAGCATCAAACCAATCGTTAGTTTATTCTTTTGTCTACTGCAGAAAAACCGTTGTTTTGAAAGCAGATATCTGCGAGAGACTGTGACCCAGCTCCTCTCTAGTCTCATGCATCACACGCAAGACTGGTTGAAACCGGTTCAGACTGGCATATTCCATCTCGGTTTAGTTTTCAGGCCGTGGCGCCGCGTAAAATTCGGACAGCGGTTACGCCCTCCGCTGCAGCTGATTGGTTGGAGAGAGCGATGCGGAAGCCTTGCACGCATGTGATTGGGTAGAGGGGCTGTCAATCAGGATTGACCCCTCCCAGCGCGTCTTTCGCCCTTGGTCTCATGTATGAGGCGGGTTTTGCATCACAGCGTGATCGTGCGGTGGGCCGGACCGCGTGGAGCATGGAAAATTACTGAGATGTTGCTTCTGATGTACAAACAGTAACTGACCGTGTTGTGTATTTTTAGGCTGTGGCTCATGTTTAAAATGTTTTATATGCTTGTATTTACATTCACGAAGCATGAAAATAACTAATAAACAATAAAATTGTAATAGTAAAGTTAATTTTCGCAAGATAAGTGTTTTTTCTCTTATTAATAATCCCACACATACAATGTACACAAGTATCCAACAATTTACAACAGAAATGAAATATGCAGAATCAAGCTAATGTTATACAGTAGAGATCAAAATTACAGAATAACCTATAAATACTTCTTTTTATTTTTTTCTGAAATATTGCTAATCTTCATCACTAAAAATGTGAAGGAATATTAGCTGTAGGTATACCACTGTTCGACTAACATGTTTGACAAAATAACCAAGGCATTTCAACAAAACCATTATTTTGTGGAAAACACAGTGATCAAAATTAGAGAGCATTAATCACTGTAGCTCGAAAGAAGATTACAACTAAAATTTTGGAGGGTTACAGCTGTCAGAAATCACACGTCACTTCACTTTCACTTTTCACTTTCAAATAAATTAAACTTACTCTAATTACTAAAGTGAACTTTGAACCAGTTCTCCTCTGTCCACACAACATGCTCCTCAGCAAAGGTGAGTCTAGCCTTTTGATTCTCTCTGCTGATGAGAGGCTTGGTCACTGCAGAGTGCGCTTTCAGTCCAACTTCTCTTAAACATGCCGAGACAGATCCGTACCCTGTTCAGCACTGAACTGGCAAGTAATTCCAGCTGCAGTGTTGAACCCATTCCCCATCGAGTCTCCACATTATCCTGTCATCCCTTTGGTCTTGTGTGTGTGACTATTTTATGATTTAATTTATTGTTAGCTTATTAACTCTCAACCCCCAGTTTGGGCAGATCTGTAACAGAGAATGAGACCGATTCATTCATGTTATTTTTTTAGTTCTTATCCAATTTTTCTTTTAAATCTCTACGATTGGTTATTAGCGTCAAATCTTTGAAAGCTACTCAAGATAGATGCTTGAGAACTTCTGCAGCAAATAAACTAGATATTCATGATTTATTTTGCGTCCTGCAGGTAATAAGTGTGACCTGGAGGCACAGCGGCAGGTGCTGTTTGAGGATGCGTGCACGCTAGCGGAGCGCACAGGTGCGCTGGCGGCGCTCGAGACCTCCGCCAAACAGCATCACAACATCGAGGAAGCGTTCGAACTGATGGCGCGGGAACTCATAGTGCGGTACGGAGGAGCAGTCCATCAGGACAGCCAATCAGATTCACCGACTGTTTTCCTGCACTCGGACTCTCATCCAATAGATGAAGGAGAACACCTGGAGAAGAGGCCATGTGACTGCTGACTGACAAGCTGACCCACAAGTTTTTGAAATTTTCGTCATGTTAAAAATCTGTGTCCTTTGGTGCAAATATTGGTCAACTGCTTTCCACCTTATTTTTAAGGTAAGAACGGACGCAGCCGTTTGTAACTTAAATGTGCGAGGCTTCCGGTGTCATTCGCTTCAAGTTATTGAAACAGTCTGTTATGCTGCTTTAAGTGGTATTTAGTTATCATATTATTTTCATTTATTATCATAATCATAAACATACTGTTTTGTTGCTCAAATAGCTTTACCGTTAGTTAGTAGTTAGTTACTTACCTGTAGCGCAGGGGTGTCAAACTCAATTCCTGGAGGCCCGGAGCCCTGCAGAGTTTAGATTCAACCCTAATTAAACACACCTGATCCAGCTAATCAAGTCCTTCAGGCTTTTTGAAATCTACATGGTATGTGTGTTGGAGCGGGGCTGGAACTAAACACTGCAGGGCTCCGGTCCTCCAGGAACTGAGTTTGACACCCCTGCTGTAGCGGCTAATGAATTGGAAATCTTGCATATTGCACACTATAATTACTATAAGCTGTCATTCATTTCAGTTTATCGCGATCTCACAAAGATATTTACACCGTGTCTACACTTTGTTACTAAAACGAGAGGATTCGTTGAAAGGAACTCAGCACTGAACAAATAAATTAAACTTACTCTAATTACTAAAGTGAACTTTGAACCAGTTCTCCTCTGTCCACACAACATGCTCCTCAGCAAAGGTGAGTCTAGCCTTTTGATTCTCTCTGCTGATGAGAGGCTTGGTCACTGCAGAGTGTGCTTTCAGTCCGACTTCTCTTAAACGTGCCGAGACAGATCCATACCCTGTTCAGCGCTGAACTGGCAAGCAATTCCAGCTGCAGTGCTGAACCGATTCTCCAGATTCGAGAGTCTCCGCATTATCCTGTCCTCTCGTGCATTTGTCTTACGTGGACAACCAGCCTTTTTGGGGGACTTGAATGAATTAGTGTCACTGTAAAGCTGCAATATTCGAGAAATCACAGATTTGGAACGACTAGCTTCTCTTGCAATGGCTGAAAGGGTCGTCCCTTTGGCCTTCATCTGGACAACCTCCTGTCGCAGGGTTTCAGTCACCTCAGAGTGGCCCGCCATCTTGCAATCTCAGTGAAAATAAGAGGAATGCTGCCAGTTAAATAGGGTTTGTCATATAATTAAGGAAATTAGAAGCAGGTGCCAGATTAACAGTCGCAGGGTTTCAGTCACCTCAGAGTGGCCCGCCATCTTGCAATCTCAGTGAAAATAAGAGGAATGCTGCCAGTTAAATAGGGTTTGTCATATAATTAAGGAAATTAGCAGATTAACACCAATAACTTGGAGGTATCTGTAAGTCTTCTCTAATTTTGATCAGAGTTCTTTTTCAAATATCTCATTTAAGTTTTTTATACTGCTGTATAGGACTCAATACGGTTGGATCTAGGAGGAGCGGGTGTGCACCAAAAACTCCCTCAAATTTCTGGAACGTTTATATACAATCATCGGTGGATGTTGGAAAAGGTGATTCAACTCAGGATCCGAAGACCGCAAATGCCAATGTTTCTTAAAAATATTTCTAATCTGGTAAGATGTAGACGAATAAGTAGTAATAAAAATAAACGATTATTTTTTTTGTACGTTTTGTCCTTTTATTTAACAACTCTGTACGTGTTTTTTGAAGCGCGGTGTCAGAAGCATCATCAACCCATTTCGAGGGATATCCTCTATCCAAAAATTTCTTTTTCATAATCCCCGACTTTTCAATAAAATCAGAATCTGAATGACAATTGTAATTAGTCCACATGTGATTGTCAATTATACTCATTGATTGTGAAAGTATATAATTATGTCTTGTTTTTAATTCTATACATTTGCCTGATGAAGGTCAGTGGACCGAAACGTTGCATTTAATAAAGTTTAAGAATGAGCAAGTATTGATAGTGTGCGGGTTCGGTACTTATTTTTGAATACACTTCTAAAATGTCTTTAAAATGTATCAGAACAAAATGTATGTTGGCTCTTATACCTGTATGTGGGTGGAGTTTGGCTGCCGGAGTGGGCGGGGCTTGGAGTATGTCTGTGTTTCAAGCCTTTAGGAGCTTTACTGCTGATAAAGGATTCACTCAGACCACATCCATGCAAAGTGGCAGAGTAGAGCTTTTCTGCTGCTCTCTTAGCATTCATCTAAGAAAAAGAGAGCTTTGCATTATCATCACCATGAACATTTCTAGTAGAGTAATATTAATATTGTAAAAATAATATTACAAAATTAAAAATTAAAATAAATCAAAACTCACCTGTGCTACCTGTTCTAGTAACAGAGGTCTTCCCTTCACTCTTTCCTGGATTTCTCTCATCTCCTCCTGGTACTCTCTTTGTCTCTGAAGATCTTGTTTCCTGTTCCCATGTGCACATATGTATGAGATATATGCAAGAAATCTGCATCTGAATATGAAAATGTCTCCAATGTTTATAAAAACTTCTAAAAATAAAGGTTCCAAAAGGGAGTTTTCATAGGAATGCAAAAGAAGAGCCATTTAGAAACACCTTAAAAACCTAGCAACACCCTAGAAACTAAACATAAATAAAGTGAAAACTAAAATAAAGTGTTCTTTTTTTATTAACGTAAAGACATTTTTTAATAATCTAAGAAACTTCTGTGGAATGGAAAGTTTCCATGGATATCCATGGAAAAATTAATTGAACCATCAATTCCAATAAAGAACCTTTATTTTTAAGAGTGTAGTTTGAGAAATTCAAGAGCAGAGGCTCAATTGCTTTACCTGAAATCTTTTAGTTTGGACTTGCATGTCTGGGCCAGGGCCACATGCGGGTCATTCGCCTGGGCTCGCTTTGTGACCACTTTTTGTAGTCTCTTCTCTCTCTGTTTTTGCTTCTCCTTCCAATTCTCCTCCTCTTCTTCTGCCCGCTTTCTCTGCTCAAGAACCTTTCTACTCATAGGGGTAAAGAGCTGTTAGAACTGAACTTATGAAGGAGGGACTCCACTAATGGGATGACGCTACGGTAGGTAAGCCAGTAGGGACAGGGTTTGGGCACAATGGACAGATGCTGCCTTCAAGTCATGTCACAATGATCACATTTTTCAATATGAACACACATTAGTGCCACCATAATATTATAATTTCTAGTGATTTTTTTTTTTGAGTGCCAAATTTTCGAGTATATTTAAGAGTGTAATATACTATTTTTAATTCAGCCTTTGTACTAGAGTTAAAAACATTCTTTGTCAGGTAGTGATAAGGAGAAATAAATATGAATTTACTTAACACTTCCATTTCATTTTGACTGAAATATCTTGAATTCATTGCTGAACTCATAAGTATGAACCTCCCACGAGGACTTTAAAGGCAGCAAGAGGATTCAGGAGCATCGACAACATACCCAGTAAAGTCTTTCACTGTTGATGGGGTTATTAATAGGAGACACAGTGGCAGGGAAATTCCCATTCCTGCTTTGGAATTCCAAAAAGCCGGAGACACAGGACTTCACTTGGAAAGTTCTAGCGGGGTGAATATTTAAATCGGAGTTGGGCATCACAGTTACCTCACAGCTTCTTGGTGTTTCTTAGCTGCATCTGTGATTTTAGCAGACAAGCATTCCTGGCTTCCGGACAGAGAGGAGCAAAGGGATGACAAGGGCGTTCTGGGCGAGAGGGCAGGTGGGGTCATGAACGGCCAGCGGGATGGTTTTGGGCTCTTTATCTCTGCCTCGATATCTGCCATGATGCGTTCTTTGTGTGAGGAGATATTAGCCGTGCGCAGCTGGAAGGGTTCACATGCCGTCACAGGCCGTACTTCTCTGTGCTTCGCCAGCTGCTTCCGAAATGTCCTGTAGCTGGCGTCGAAGTCTGGAAGTTCGGCGTTGATTTTGGGTCGGTGTGTATGCTCGTCATCCTGGGCAGCTTTCTGCACCTGTTTTTCGCTGAGATGCCGTGCAAGCATGCTAGGAGGCATGGATGCGCTATGAAGCAACTCTCTCGCCCGCATCTGCATCTTGATGGCCCTGTAGAGCTCCTCCTCCTTCTGCTGCTCGCCCGACGCTGCCTCCTTCACCGCCCGTGGGACGGGTTTGGCCTTGAACGGGCATTTCCTCCTCTCTTCTTCCTCTCTGTTGTGTTTGAGCATTTGCTCGCGGAGCTTGGCCTCCTTCTGCTCTTTCTTCAGCCGTTCGCGCTCCAGGAAGCTGAAGGGTCTTTGTGAGGTGTGGAGACGCTGCTGCTCCATCTCCCGATGAAGTCGTCGGCGCTCCTCGTCGCGCTCCTGCAGCTCCTCGTACAGCGGGAGGCGCACATGCGCAGGCACCGGACTGGCGTGGAACTTCCTCTGGCACTCGGTGAGCTCCTCCACCTGGCGTCGGAGATCCGCGTTCTCTTGTTCGATCTCCGAACGTGATTTTATACCCTTCTTTCGCCATTCCGCCTCACAAAGTGTCATGTGGAAAGGCTTGGGGACTGTTACTCTCGGATGCCAACCCTCGTCTACATTTTGCTTGCGTTTTTTTAGCCGTTGACCCCTGATCCTACCTTTGGGTTTGCTAGCGGCCTGGCAGTCAGCAGGCAAGCTCTGCAGTGAGGATGAAAACGAGTGCCATTGATGCGGAGAAAGCTTATTCACACTGAATTCCTGCCACATGCTCTTGATGAGCTCTTTGGGTGAGATAAGAAGGCCTTTCTCGGTGTTGCCATTGTCAGCACTGCACTCTTCATCAGACAGGTCAGAAAGATCTGAAGTCCACCGCAGCTCCAGAGCAGAACGGGCTTTTTTCAGATTGCTGGTTATCACTGGACTCCTTCCTTGTGGGGAACTATTTAACAAAAATAATAATAATAATAAAGTTAATAATATTTTCATTTCCATTTAAAGTTAATACATTTAAGGAATGCTCTGTGTTATACAGTTGTTCATAAGTTTGGGGTCAGTAAGATTTTTATTTGAAAAATTAATACTTTTATTCAGCAAGGATGCATAACATTGATCAAAAGTGACAGTAAAGATATTTATAATGTTATAAATATTTCTATTTTAAACAAATGCTGTTCCTTTGAACTTTCTATCAATCAAAGAATTCCAGAAAAAATGTATCACAGCTTCCACAAAAAATATGAAGTAGCACAAATGTCTTCAACATTGATGGTAATAATCAGAAATGTTTCTTGAGCAGCAAATCAGCATATTAGAATGATTTCTGAAGATCATGTGACACTGAAGACAGGCGTAATGATACTGAAAATTCAGCTCTGCCATCAAAGGAATAAATTATATTTTAAAATATATTAAAATAGAAAAGAGTTATTTAATATGCAATAATATTTCGCAATATTACTGTTTCTACTGTATTTTTTATTTGTACCCTTGGTGAAAATAAGAGACATCTTTCACAAACTTTTAAACATGTGCATACCTAGAGATTAATTCCAGTTTATAAAAGCTAACAACAACAACAAATGCGTTGGTTAAAAATGTTTGTTTTAGTTTTGAAAAATAACTATTGTTATGTATAAACTCACAGATTGGTCCGATCAGTGTTGTCCGCAGCGCTCACCCCTTTGAGGTCCAGTTTCTTGCGATACATGAGTTCGAGTTCAGCCATGGTTTGGAGATGAGCCTTCTTCAGCTGCTCTATCTTACGATAGTACTCTTGGTTTGAAAAGTAGAACTCCCTGAGATCGATGTGATCGCCTGTCACGTGATAGTCTTTGATCAGCAGTGCATTGCTGTCTTTACCAGGAGGGTCATCAGTCGCCAGCTCAGGTCCAGAGTCATACTCCATCTATGAAGATACACACAATGAGAACAGGCTGATTTGCTTAAATACTTTTCACTGTAATCCATAGGTTAAGACACTTAATCAGTACAATTCTTTGAGATTTTGATGCATTGATTGACCAAAAAAATAAACAATTCGAGGAATGTTGGTTGAAAGCCCAGTGCTTTCATACATCACCCTCTGTTTTTTTTGGTCTGGAAAACAGAGGTGTGTGCGTTCAGTAGTTGTGTGCAACACAAAATGAGTCTCTCTGTGTGTAAACTGTTAATCTGCAGGTCTGTCAGCTTTAGGGCCAGATGGCAGATTGTGTTCTTCTTCATTCATACACGAGATTGTCTCACGGTTCTTCACCGTACTCGACATGAAACCAACACTATATTACACACACATTTATGCAGCTAAATGAGGATATGTACTGCACATGTTTTGCAGATTTATGAATAATTTTAATTTTTGAGGTTAATTTATCTATATTTAGCATACCGACGTAAACACATTAACAACCACAACCACAGAAGCCTATTGATTTACTTAGAAATTATGATAACATGACTCAAGAACAGGATTTCATCATGTCAGACCATTAGAGTTAGAAGGTTAATCTTTCCACTTCATCATTAGTGAGCTGTTTAACCACCTCCAGTCTATTACTCAACTATTGTTTTTAATTTTGTATCTTCAAAAACATGTTTAAAGTCCAAACAACTTCAACTTGTCAGAGACATATTGACTGAAAATCTCTTTAATTAACGTCTTTGAATACACGTGAGTGCGAAACCATCAATAATCTTATAAAGGACTTTCGCTTGATCGTTTAATCAACAAGAAAAGCGGTTTATTAGCTTTCTGTCACCTCTTCTTCATAGAGCCTGTTGTCCGTGCTGTCCCTCTCATACTGAGCTAACGGGACTTTAGTGCGAGGGTCCACCGGCGTCTTCAGACAGGAGGTCACCAGGACATTAGTGCGGTGAGACTTCTTCATATCCGTCTCTTTCCAGACTGGAAGATTCAAATGAATGACTGACTGACCGCTTCTTTTACTGTAACAAGTGCGCGTCTCCTTGACGACCGCGTAGCGTCGGGAAGCCGCAGTGACGCTCAGCCTCGGGAGCGCGCACGTATGAAACCGCCACCAACATGAGAAAGAGGCTTTAAAGGGATAGTTCACCCAAAAATGAAAAGTCTGTCATCATTTACTCACCCTCATGTCGTTCCAAACCTGTATGAGTTGCTTTCTTATGTTGAACACAAAAGAAGATATTTTGAAGATTGCTGGTAATCAAACAGTTGGTGGTTGCCATTGACTTCCATAGTAGGAAAAAAAAATACTATGGAAGTCAATGGTAACCACCAACTGTTTGATTTCCAGCAATCTTCAAAATATCTTCTTTTGTGTTCAACATAAGAAAGCAACTCATACAGGTTTGGAACGACATGAGGGTGAGTAAATGATGACAGAATATTTGGGTGAACTATCCCTTTAAGAGCAGTGAGGGATATGTTGGAATTTTGTGTCTATTTACATAAAAAGATGGTGGTATTTTTTATGACTACAGTACAAATTGATGTTCAAATTCATTACATTTAAAAAAATTAATTAATCTAGCTAGTTTTAAAACATAAATGTGGTAATGTTCCACTTCAAGGGTCTCGACTTCACACCAAAATCCTAAAATAAAGTCAATTCTGACCATATTGATTGTAGAAAGGGAATAAATAAAAATTGTTCAATAACCAAAACTTAATCAGATGTGCCCTAAAACATTCGCATGGCATTTTGTTTCCCATGACTTCCCCTCCATTATTATTATTATTAATTATACGACTACTTAAATTTAAAAGGAAAAAAATAAATCAGATGGTATTTTCCATGACTAGTGTACAAACTGATTTCCAATTATGTTAAAATAAATGCATATTAAAAATAAATAATATAATAAATAATAAATGTATAAATATCACACCCAAATATGGTAATTTTGGTATTTTCCACCTCCAATTATCTTGATTATCTGTATTCAACAAAATCATAAGAGAAAATAGAATTGGATTATCTTGATTCTGAAAAATAAAATTAAATAATAATAATAAAAGAAATAAAACGGAATATTCCATAACACTGACACCCAGGACATTTACATAACATAATTTTATCAATTTTAACACAAATTGCAGCATTGTATTAACTGTAGCAGCTGCATTCATCAACCCTGATACAGCAGTAAGTTATTTAAAAAAAAAAAAGATTATTATTTGATCTATATGGGAAATACAAGTTTATTGCTAGACTTAATTTAGGCAAAAACTGACCCCGTTTCCCATTCTGGTGTATTATTTTTTTATACTAAATTTTTTTTTTTCCATCATAAAAATGCAAAACTTGGTTTTAAGTCAAAAGGCTGTTGATTACAAGTGAAAATTGTCAGATCTTGATTTCAGACTTTCTCAGGCCTTAGAGCGGAGCCCTGTCTCTGATCGGATAAGACTATTAACTAACAAGATTAAACTTACTGACATGCAGTAATGCATTGACCACGACAACCACCATGTAAATAAATTAATACATTGACCACATACTGTATATCAAAGACAAATAACAACAGACAAGAGTTACCGTGCCCAAAAAAAAAGTTTAATTAAATTACTCCAGGTAACAGCAACAGACAGCGACAGATTATTTGGTCTTATCAGGGTGCTAGCATGGGGTTGGATCTTCTTTCACTAATCACATTCACTTTATCGCGTGTTCACCTGCAGAAGAAATGAGCCATTAATGCTTGTGCATTTACAGACAACATCAGTGCTAATTTCAGGGTCCTTTAAATACTCATTAGACATAGCAAATCACTCACAAGATCATCAATCTTGAGGATGCTGCGGACCGTTTCCGTGGCGAAGGTGAGTGCACTGATGGAGACCAGCAGAGGCTGAACTACCAGCTCCTCCAGGATGTTAGAGATCCCACCCTGAGAGACCAAAAGACATGTTAAACGCTCATTTTTTTAGGGGTTTTGTCAGTAGGCAGGACTATTGAGAACTATTTGTTGAAAGGCACACCTTGCGGACATTAATCCCAGCCGTCTTTTCTCCCTGTGCGTGTCTGTTGCGCAGCTCCGTGACTGTAGAGATGGGATTAAGACCAGCGTTCTCTGCCAGAGTTGAGGGAATGACCTCCAGGGCATCGGCGTACGCACGCACACAGTAAGCCTCCATGCCGGCCAGACTGCGGGAATATTCTGCCAACCTCAGCGCCAGCTCAATCTCTGGTGCTCCGCCGCCAGCAATCAGAGCCCTGCAGACGCACAGGAAGAGGATGAGTTAGCAAACAGCTTCTATTGACTCTAAGACCTGAAAAGTTTAAAGGTATAGTTAAAAAAAAAAATTTTATTTGCAGAAAATGTATTCACCCTCAGGCCATCCAAGATGTAATGGGAACAGATTTGAAGAAATGTAGCATTACATGGCTTGCTCAGCAATGGATCTTCTGCAGTGAATGGGTGTCGTCAGAATGAGAGTCCAAACAGCTAATAATAACATCACAATAATCCACAAGTAATCCTCACCACTCCAGATCATCAGTTAATGTCTTGTAAAGTGCAAAAATGCATGTTTGTAAGAAACATTGAGGCATTTTAACTTCAAACCATTTTGTTCTGGCTAAAAAATCCATAACCATAATCCACAACAACTCTTCCTCCAGTGAAAAAGTCCATCCCCTGTTGTCCTCTCACATTAAAATCCACCAACATATTTGTTTAAAGCTGTTTTTGCTTGTAAACGGTGCTTGATCTGTGCAAGCTTCTCTCCTGATTCAGACGAGACAACTTTTTCACTGGAGAAAACAATATTTTGGATAGAGAACTACTATTTTATCCAGAAACAACAGTTTAAAGTGGAAAACATCTTGATGGATTTATTTCTTACAAAAATGCAGCTTTTGGCTTCATAAGATGTTAATTAATAGACTGGAATCATGTGGATTATTGTGATGTTTTTATCAGCTGTTTGGACTCTCATTCTGACGGCACCCATTCACTGCAGAGGATCCATTGGTGAGCAACTGATGTAATGCTACATTTCTCCAAATCTGTTTCCATGAAGGAAAAAAACACTCAACTGGGTGGCCTGAGGGTGAGTACATTTTCAGCAAATTTTCATTTTTGGGTGAACTATTCCTTTAATGCAACATACTAAACTGTGCCAATGCTGGAAATAGTCAAATATCAGCCAATTCATTCAGCTTATGCTAAATAAAAATTCTTATCCATGGAGAAATCCATATAATCACTGGAGTCTCTTGTAATCTTGGTTACCTCTTCTTGACCAGACAGCGGATGACGCAAAGGGCATCGTGGATGGATCGTTCTGCCTCCTCAATCACCAGTTTGTTGGAACCACGAACGACAATACTGACCGTCTTTCCTGGATTTACACATCCTGTGATCTACAAACACAAATCAATCACGGCTCTCATTTTCCAGCACGGACAGAATAAAAACATATAAAAACCTGTGTCTGGAGAATCTGTCTATAAGTAAATGTTTAAGTAAAGAAAAAATTGTTAAATAATATTTCTCGCCCAGTATGCATGAGAAAAACAAAACATGTTCATTTGGAGATGCATGTAGATGCATCTAGGTTATAACAGGTAGGTTACCTTCACTAGTTTGCCAGATCCATCCAGGTGAACCTCTTCAGCTAGCTCTGCTGTTCCCAGCATCTCTGGAGTGAACTGGTCAATATGAGCAATAGGTTTGGTGCCAAGGGTCTGATGGGACAGAAGAAAAATACTTGATAATTATGACAGGCAATGCAGAATGTGCATTAGATATAAGACACAAACTTTACACGCATATGCATCCTCAAAAAAAAAAAGCACTTAATAGTCCCATGACATTGCTGGATCTGCTGGTCATACCTTGCAGATGAATTCAATGTCCTCCCTCTCAATGTCTTTGACGACCATGATCTTCATCTTATTCAGGAAGTGAACGGCCAGATCACTCAGTGCATCTCTGAAAGACACGAGCAACCACCAACATCATGAGAACCTCTGACACTGATACATTTTATATTAATTTAATATATAAATGGAAACTATACAGATTAAAGTTGGTAATATATATATATCCTTTATTTTGTGGAAAACACAGTGATCAAAATTAGAGAGCAAATAATCACTGTTGCTCGAAAGAAGATTACAACTAATATTTTGGAGGGTTA